TGCTCGGTGATAAGTGCGTTTTTACACACTAATTTGGCTACAAAACATGACTAATGGTTGATCAAAAGGTTTGAATTATGGCTTAATTCTATGTAATTATGTTTTGTATGACTATATTGACGAATGTAGCGGAATTCAAGAGAAAAGAAATGAAAAAGGACCAAAAAGGAAGGAAATTCAAAGTATGAGGACTAAATTGTTATACTTCAATAGTTGATTTGGATCACAAAATGAAGATTAAAGATGTTACAGGTTCAATTAGATGCAATTAAAAGTCAAAGGGTTGAAAATGTAAGAGATATGGCTTGAAATAATCAAGAATTGACTTCGGGTGTTAAAATGCAACATTCGGGAGTTTTTTATAACTGAGCGATAGCCCAGTTGTTTAAAGTGGGCGACCACCCAATGAAAAAAATCAATTAGCGAGAAGAAAACTTTGGCCTGGGCGACTGCCAAGGTTTTGCCTGAGCAACAGCCCAAATCAATCGCGGCGAAAAATTTCTGGTTTCCTATTCTGACTGAAATTCTTGTGGAAACAAATCTTTGGAGGTATTTAACAACCCTAGGGCCATCCCTAACCTTACACCACACATTATAACACATTCAGGAGGATTTTTTGAAAGAGGGAAGAAGGAAGAACAAGAAGATTCAATCCAAGATTCAAAGTCTCACTTCAAGAATTTCAATAGGGTGATGTCTTTTCTTGATTTTTATTGTTGTGTTCTTCTTCCTATCATGCTAGGCTAGAAAAATCCATACTAGGAGATTGATGAACATTATAATTTGATATTTAATTCTTTGTTTCGCATTTTGACATTAAAACACGTATTGATTGTTTTGAGTGATTTATATGCATTTAATTGCTTCCATGATTATAAGCCTGTAATTGTGTGAGTTTTGTTGGTTTGTTTCATCTATTCGAAAGAAGAGGAATAAATTCGACAAGGTATAAATCATCGTAAGGTTCGATAGGGGGTAGAAAATATAAATCATCATAGGGTCTGATAGGCAGTAGAAATATACCTCTATGCTTTGCGTGAATCTCTAAGTACTTACAAAATTACATGCATTCTCGTATATTCACATCCGTCATAGAGATATAGGCGGGTGGTGTATGAGAATAAGTTCAATTCTTCTCGAGAGAGTGTGTGTTGGATAGATTTAGGAGTATTGATTCTTCAAAATGTTATCGTGTTGTCAAAGTGTGTAATTAAGGTTAAATTGAACATTACTAGAAAATTCGTGATCCTAGTATATCTCACATTTATTGAAAACATTTAAAATCTTTATTGATAAAATCTTTTAAATCGAATGAATAACTATTTCTTAAAATGAAATAACTTTGAATTAAAGTATACATTACTAAAATTAGAAAAATAAATTTATACAAAATTGTGATACATATCTTGGAGTGTTCTTATCGAACACGAACATGTCTTAAGAAGAGTATTCATGCCACTATAATAATGATTACGTTATCACTTCTATATCAAGTTGTCCATCTAAACCTTAATTCAAGTAAAAATCAAGAAAAAAGAAAGAAGAGGCCTAAGGGGGCATAAACTTGATGCAAGAGGAAGGCGTCCAACATAGCGAAAGCGAGGAGATAAATGATCAACCATATTTTGACTGTCTGATATTGCGAGTCTATGTGACAAGAAGGTTTGAATAACTCACATCTGGGTGCCAAAAGGCATGAATGTGTAATCACCAAAAGACATGTGCATTTTATTTATTATCATTTTCTTTTTCTTTTTCAACTTATTTTTTTAAGATTAAAAAATTAGCTATTTAAATAAGACAAATATTTATTAATGATAATAATTAAAATAATTTTTAATTGTCTTAGAATAATTGAAATAACTTTAGTAATTGCGCTCGGGCTCGTAAGGCTGGAGGTGTAATTTTATAGCATTATCATACTTCACACCTTTTAGAACATTGCTTGTATATATTTATTTAATTTCAAATTCAACTTTGTGGCAAATGCATAGGAACAAGAAGATTTTTTTCTTTCTTTATTTTGATTACATATTCATTATATCTAGTCATAACTGAATGTGCGTTGCACATAATTTTGAATTGTTTTATAAGCCTTGTAAAAATAATATTTCAAGTTAGGTTGTTATAAAAAGGGTAATTAGTACAAAATGTCTCTACCTTTTAATATTATTGTGTAAAACGTCTCTACCTTTCATTTTTTGGTATTTTCACCCTTATTTCAACGTTTCATTGCAGAAAACGTCATTTTCGCCATTTTTTAATGTAAAATGATCAAAATATCCTCCCCATTTAAATAAAACCAAAAAATAAAAAAATAAAGAATAAATTACAATCTTACTTCAAAATGTTTTAAAAAGTGCAAGTGAATCCAAATACTTATTAAAAGGTTTAATAGCACAAAACGTCCCTACATTTGGCCTATAGTGTGAAAAGGTCCATATGTTTCAAATGGGTGAAAAGACGTTTTCCATAACGAAACGTGAAAATAGGGATGAAAACACACAAAAATTGAAACGTATGGACGTTTTCCGAAATAAGTGTCAAACGTAGGAATTTTTTTGTTATTAGGCCTTATTAAAATATTTAAAAAAAAAAAATCTCTCTTCTCTTCTCCTCCAAATGGATTTGTCATGTTAGAAGTGAAAAACCCCGACCAACCATCACCCAAACCGTCAAACCTTCA